AGAGAGAAAGCGATAAAGCAGTTTGGGGAGTGTTGCAAATGTGCTAAGATGTTTTTCATAAACATGTAGATAAATTGCCTTTACAGGTAAATTAATAACAACAAAAAAGTATGAGAAACTTTTCCATTATATTAGCTTTATAATTTAGGGTTATCTTTTAACTTTTATCACTTACAGTGGATGCAAACCTAGCTCATGCAGCAGGAGGGTGAGTTCAGTATCACTGAAACAGTAATATTTCCAAGATTTGAGTTTTATCAATTTGTGCAGCTTCAGCATTAAATGTAGGTCTCATACATGTAGCTCATTTTATTATTCTTCAAGCTTTAAACATGTAGAGCAAATTCTTGGGTAAAATGTTGATTTTGAATCACTTTTCAATCATTTTAGGTGCCTTTTCTAAATTTTAGCTATTCCATTCATTCAGCACAATGTATCAGAATATTTTTTCTTGTGTTTGTTTTGCCAAATTTATTGCTATCTCACACCATGATATTTATAAGTCCTTGTGTTGATCCACATTATAGTAAAAATTGCTTTTTTACTCTCACACACACACACACACACACACACACACACACACACACACACAATAAATAATAATAATAATAATCAACCCCTCTCATCTACAATTGCATGTTAAAGATCGTTACTTTCATAAATTGCTTAATTCTTTTCCCTCCAGTTACCCAGGATCTCAAAGAGCAAGACTTCCAGAAGAGATTGTTGAAAATGAGTACAACTTCAACCACCCCAACAGAGGGTATGCCATCATCATCAATAACAGAAAATTTGAACATCACACTGAAATGCCAGAGAGAAATGGAACGGACCTGGATGCTGCAGCTCTGTACCAAAGACTATCTGCTCTTGACTTTAAAGTGGAATTGGTCAATAATTTGAGAAGAGAAGAGATGCGGAGCAAACTTGAAGAAGGTACAACTTTTTAAATTTTAAATGCTGTGGCAAAAAGGTTATTGTACCAGGAAACTCATATTAAAGTCTCAGTCATTTCTGTAGCTGAGCATAACCGTTCTGACAATTACTGCCCATTATTAGTAGCCATCTTAATAAAGTGAAAAGAGGGTGTGGTGTTTAATCTTTCAATCATTTCAGTTGCCAAGCGTAACCATTCAGATAATGACTGTGTTGTGGTAGCTATCCTCACTCATGGGGAAGAGGGTGTGGTCTATGGTGTTGATGGATGGATCGAACTGGAAAAGCTGGTGGCACCATTTAAGGGAGATAAATGTTTAACTCTAGTTGGAAAACCAAAGATTTTCTTTGTCCAGGTGGGGTTTTGATATTTCCCGGGCAATCTGAGGATAAATTGATTAATAGTAGTCTGTTAACATATTGTAAAATATTGAATGCCACACAAAAGTTCTAATTACAACCCAGTCTAAACTTAACAGAGACACATTTGATACTATGTAGCAGTATCAAGTGAATTAAAGTTGATATCTTTTAGAAATATAAGTTTGAAGTTCAAAATTTTTTAAAATGTCAGACCATTTGGGTGAAATTTTAATTTGAAGCTTGATTATTTGTTATCCCGCCAATATATTATTCTTCAGGCCTGTCGTGGTAATAAATTAGACCATGGTGTAGAGGTATGTGATGCAGAAGTTGTCAAGGATGAACCAGATGCTGCCACGGTGTTCAGGGTCCCTTCTGAAGCCGACTTCCTCATGGCTTACTCAGTTGTACCAGGTAAATGTCAGCAGCTATTAAGACATCAGTGTGAAAGTAACTGACTTTTACTTCCAACTAATCACTTGATGACATATATGAAATGTGCATTGATCTCTCTTTATGTGTGTTTTTATCTAATTTGATTTTTTTTTTTGGGGGGGGCTTAAAGAGCATATACATATCGGTGTGCATTTACTACATGTTTTGTGTAATAGGTACTTTGTTTTTGCCTTGGTGTGAGAGAGGGAGAGAGATATATAAAAAATAGAGAGGGATTGATAATGAAGGAAGAAATAACTAAATATCACTATATTTCTCACAGGCTATTTCTCATGGAGGAATTCCACTAATGGTTCCTGGTTTATCCAGTCTCTGTGTAAAGTCTTAGAGAAGTTTGGTCATACGCTGGACATCATGACCATGATGACCCGAGTGAACAGGATGGTAGCATTTGACTACGAGTCCAATGCAAACAAGGAATATATGAGTAAAAAGAAGCAAATCCCTTGTATCACCTCCATGCTCACTAAGGACTTGTATTTTCGTCCTAAATTACCCGGTAGACACTGAATAACACAATACTTATAGGTGGAGTCTGTGCTTAGGTCTTTTTTATAAAAGGTCACACATAGTTATAATTCAACTTGTTCTCTTACCATTTGCAGTTTCCATTTTTGTTAATGAATGATTCCCTTTTTAACTGAAGATCACAATATTTACTTAAATTATGATATACAATATAAATAGATACACTGATTTTACTGATACCCTGGTGAATTGTTTATATCTAAAAGTGATAGTTATCCTAGCTATGTTGTGTTAGTTTCCCTTTTTTCTTTGATAAGGCATTGAGAACCATTGAAGCTTAGATAATGTACAACTCTTTATCAATATTTTTAAAATTTTGCTTTATAACCATATTTATTTCGTTTTTATTTTATGAATATCTGTCTTATTTTCCTATGTTTGGAACTAGGACATTCAACTGCCCTGCTGATTATAATCTATCAATAGGATTTATTGTTTTTGATAACATTGTTCATATGATACTGTAATCTCCAATTTTGTTTAATTTCTGAATGATAATCTACTGTCAGATATATTTTTTCAACATCATATTTTCAAAGTTTGTTGAAATGAAATAGGAGTATGTATTTGTACATGTAACTTGAGTGATGTCAGCTTGAATGCTTTATATGTTTAACTTGCTGGGGATTTTGTAGTGTACAATTGGTTATATTTCTATCCTAGTCGACAGTAATTGATCATGTATATTGAGGTGATTGTGTGTATATTGCCAGCAGTTTTGTTATCCTTTTTATTTCATTGCCACTGGGTGAATGGATATTTATCTGAGATATCTTGACATTGTCACTTGTGAATAGATATTTTATCTGAGATATGTTGAAATAGTTAATTCCTAGCTAAAAAAATAAAGTAGCAAGTTGCAGGTTTTATTAAGGGCATTTTGCTAGAACTACTTCTTCCACCCTTACCTGCACGAAAGCAGTGTTGACATGTTGAAGGCGCTCTCCATAGAATTTACTTGCCAAAATGGTTTTTCCTGGGGTAAAAGGCATTTTCTCCTACTCACAAATCATTGCTAGACCTATCTCTGCACTTTGAATTGAAATATAATTTATTAGATTCTTTAAATGACTGGCCAGTCATTTGATTTAGAATGACGTCTGTCTTTCACTGATATTCATTGAGCATGGCCATGGTTATCACTTCACAACACGAGGAAATGGGCATTGTTTAGTTTTTGCTGCCCTGTGTATAATACGAAGTTGCGAGCTTTAATGACTATCTGAAAAGACATGGAATGAAATAACAGCACACGGTATGCATCAAATACGGTTTTATTCAAAGGGTTTTAATGTCTTTAAGGTCTGAATTGAAAAATATTAGGATATAAATTCTTGGAGAATTCTTTTAAGTCTTGATGGTTTCCCCATACGCTTAATGTAGTTTGAAAGGTACTCCCATATGTCCTACTTTTGTTTCTTAGAAACTTGATAATGGAGTGCGATCTCAAATCTTTTAATTGATGTACATAGATAAGGTAATATGTGTGCATGCAAGATTACTGTCATCTTCCTAATCAAATTATTCAATCAGTGATTTCCATTCACAAATTTGTGCAGACACTGATGTCACTTAAGATATGGTTAACATAGCTGTTTTTATGTTGAATTATAATTGGAATGCCTTTGCATACTGAAGTATTTATTTGACCAAATTGCTTTAAATTATTATCTTGTGCAGGTTTTCCTAAAAATGGTCAGTGTTTGATGCATTTTCCTTTGTTCATTCACATGGTTGATTTAAAAAAAAAAATAATTTGACAGTCTCATTTCAGTGCATTTAGCTTCGAGTGGTGCTAGGAGCTTTTAGGGCAACATTAAACTTACCTGTGCCATTTGAAAAATGAAACTAATACTGAAATACGTGTATATCTACAGACATATCACAAATGACAGTGCTGCATTTCTAGGTGCATTTTGATTTAAAGACTAATGTTATTATTACCAAGGAAATGGTTGTAGTATGTGTTCATGCCTGTGTCATTGCTCATAATGCGTTTTAAATCAGAAAGGAATGTTTCAAATTATGTTTTTTATCTAAAAATTTTACTTGAAAGTGGCCATGTATTTCAATGCTAAATAAATGTATTGATTTCATATTTTAGTTTGTTATTCAAGAGGTTTTGATATATGCTAAATTGTGTGAACGGAGTAATTGAAAGTTAAACATATTTAACGTTAACAAGTTTGATTATAATCAAATTTGAAGGTTTGCACGGTCGTGTCTTGAATTGTACGTGCAGAAGGTAACAGATGCCAGTTGCTTCCCACGTACACGTTCAGCTTCCGGTCAAACATTTCATCAACAGAAAGTACCAGCTGTAGACTTATTTTACTGTTTTATGACACAACATTTGCACGGAAAGCAGTCTAAAGTTTACAGTATGGCCAGTGCAGATGAGCTGAAGGCTCGTATAGCGGAACTTGAACATGAACTAGCACAGGTGAAAGGAAAAGTTGGTGCTAGAGGTAAAATACAGCAAATGAGTTCCGAAGTCGTTGACTCCAATCCCTACAGGTAAACTGAACTTGTGTGCAAAATTTTTTGGGCGAACATAGTCTTTTATATTTGCAATGTAGTGCATCTTTAGCAGGTGCTTATAAGTAATTTTGTCTCAGTTTTAGAAAAAGTGAAAGATGCTTTATTCTTTCAAAGGTAGGTATATCAGAAAAATTTTCAAACTGATCAGAAAATTAAAATACTTATATCATCTGAAAGGTAATGCAAAAACCGGATGAAATCATTTGGAATTTTTGAAATATTCCTACAAGCAACAAAGATATTGAAGTTTTTTAACTGCAAAAATCCACCAAAAGTGTCCACACTTCTCAGCTCAAAACCTGTGCCCACTGACCAGCAGTGATCACTCAGGCGCAGCAGAGCACCCTGTGTGTCTTTGTCTGGCTCACATAGCCTGTGACTAATCAGGGCAAAGCTATTTCCCTGTGGTAATTTTCACATCATGTAATATTGCGGATTAAATTAACTATACTTCGCAACCTTCAAATTTCATGATTTTTCTACATAATATAGCAAATTTCATAAACTTTGCTGGATATAAATTTCAAAAAGATGATACCAGCACTTACCTGAAATTTTTTATCATTTTGTAGAGGCAAAGCTTAAAACAAGCAGAACCGAAACTTTTCAAAGACTGCAACATGGGAAAATCACGTGACCGGATTTTACTCTTTGATTTACAACTTATTTAGTTAATGGCTTGTATTAGTTTTTTTACGCGGCGCTAAAAGAGAGATTTAAAAAAGGGGTTCCATAGGCGAACTGTCAGCAGGCCAACTTCAGTTTTACACTTCACTGCCCGTGGACAGTTACGACTGTAGCGCCCCTAGCGGATTGTGATCTACCTATCAAAGGGAGGGGTACTTATGATTATTAATTTTATTATTATAATAATTTATGAAGTTTGTTTTTGCTTAAATATTTAAATATTTTGCCCAAGTTTTTGGCCTTAAAGATAACTGCTAGGTACTAACTGCAAGTGTTTAGTACATGGCACGTAAGGCTGAAAACTGAGACAAGTATACTGTATGTGTAGTAATACCACTTTTTATACTCTTAGTCGATTGATGGCATTGAAGAGAATGGGAATAGTGGACAATTATGAGGTATGTACTCATGTGGACAATCATGAAAAAATCTTTATCATAAATAAACCGTTTTTTACTTACTAGTACATTAGAATAAGATACAATTAGGTCCATGTAAAACATTGTTAGATATTCACACGTTTCAGTTTGTGAAGTAAAATGCACTAATTTAGATAAATTTGCCGTGAAACCCATTCAGAGCCCTTGTCTTGCACTAGGCAACAGCATTAATTCACCAAGGATTTTCATAAAAGTCTCAGCACAGTAACAGTTACACAAAAGTCAAGTCATATATATATAACTAAAGAATTTATATAACTAAAGAAGAATCAAATGTTCAGTTACCCTCAGTCCAGGCTAAATCTGCAGTACCAGTACATGTAGTCCAATACTATAGTGCATATTGTTCTAAAAAATTAGTAGTTTTGTACTTCTCATCACACAGGTGGAATATTTTCTTTGAATGGACCATTACTCCTGTATCTTGAGTAGGAGTAAACTTTTTACATTTGGTTTTGTAAAAAATTAAAATGGTAAATCCAATTTTTAATTTTAGTTCTGATTTAAAACTGGTCCTTGAAGCTAAGGATCATTTTTTAAAGTAACAATTTTGGTAAACATTGCACTTTGCAGCAGGAGAGATGACACTGAGGAAATATATATATATATATATATTAATCTAAATTTGTTTTAGCGCATAAGAGAGTTCACTGTAGCTGTAGTTGGTATTGGTGGAGTAGGGAGTGTCACGGCTGAGATGTTGACAAGATGTGGAATAGGAAAGGTAAGTTGTACATGTAAAATGTTTTTTTTTTTTTTTTTTTTCAGTATTATGTACATTTCAGAGTATACTTTTTATTATTATTTTGCAGAATTTGTTTGTACTGACTTTGAAATCTGTTAACCATCAAAGTCCAAAACTTAAAATTCTGTTTTTTATTAGAACTATTATTATTTTAAGGTTTTTTTGGAGGCACAGTATTGGACAAAATGCATATATTATGTATTATTGAGGTCGTAATTTGAATGTGAAAATTTTCTGTAGTTAATATTTACATTTTCATTTGCAAAGTTTCAATTTCTTTCATAGTTGCTGCTGTTTGATTATGACAAAGTTGAGCTGGCCAACATGAACAGACTGTTTTTCCAGCCTCACCAGGCAGGAATGAGCAAAGTGGAAGCTGCAGAGAAAACTCTGAGGTAATCAGTCTTAAATGATTTGTTTTGATTAAAATGTAGCATACAGCAAGAGTTTGTAGATAAAAAAAACTAACAGATATACCAGCACCTAAATATCCATGATTAAATGATAGATTGAAATAAAAGTAAACATTGGATCAGATGAATGATTAATTCATCATCTGGCATGATGCTGTTACAGGTAATGTGCTTTGTTCTGTCATTTTTAAATGATAAGTTAAAACTTAAAAATTTGACTAAAAGTGGGAAAAGGTGTAAATTTGCTTTGGATCAGATCTGCCAGTGTAAAGATTTTTGCTTATGTAATCTTTTCCTTTTTGCATAATATTTCATTGCTGCTCTTACTTTTTTCTCTTGATTCTTATTACATTTTCTTAATTTTAGATATTTTTATCCATGAATGTTATATTTTAAGTTCTATCATAAGAAGTGATGAAAAAATACATTCTCATATTACAGGGACATAAATCCAGATGTAGAATTTGAAACTTATAATTATAACATCACAACAGTTGAAAATTTCCAACATTTCATGGACAGAGTCAAGTAAGCATTTGAGATATTTGTAAAACCTTCTGCAGATTATGTGAAATGGATCCAAGTCTGAATGTAATTAAATACATGTAAACAAGTAGAATGAGTTTCAAAAGGTATTCAAAATTTGAACAAATTGAAAATGTTCATTAAAAGGATGTGCCACAAGAATATTACAATAATTATTTTACAGTGTTAGATTTAATCAATAATTGGAATGGATCTCTCTGTTATTAGGTATGGTGGGCTGAAGGACCAAATGCCAGTGGACTTGGTTCTTAGCTGTGTGGACAATTTTGAAGCTAGGATGACTATCAATACGGTAAGGACTCTTTTACACTGTGAATTCTTGCCTAACCAGATTATTTATTAATTTTTTATTTTATTTTCAGTTTGTTCATTCATTTACTCATTTATTCTTGCATTCATTCATTTATTATGTAAGCCTTGTGTTGTAACATAGCAAGTAATTAGATAAGGCTTGATAAATAACTAACTTTTATGATGATATTTCATTTTTTATGTTATTTGTCTGGTCAAATACATAAATAGATACAGTGTAGGGTTATGTATTTTTAGGCTTGTAATGAACTTGGCCAGCACTGGTTTGAGTCAGGAGTAAGTGAGAATGCAGTGTCAGGGCACATACAGTTTATACAGCCAGGAGCCACTGCCTGCTTTGCAGTAAGTCTGAAATACTGAATACATAGAATGAGTGAAATTCAGGCTTCATATTGAATGGGCTTTACTGAAAACACATACAGGATATCTGTTAATGATTAAGCATAAAGTTTATTGCAGTGTATGATTTACCATGTACATTTTATTTTCATGGTTTGTTTGAAGTTATTGAAAGAGTATGAAGGTTGTTGGTTGTAAAGTAGGAAGAAATGCTAAAGCACTTGCTGACTAAGACACTGTTATAAAAGTAAAAAAGTTTTAGATACCTGCAAGCCCTTCTATCTAACTGCTTGTTGTGAGCCACAAGCTTTTAAAATAATTCAACGTAAGGTTAATCCACATAGTTACCACATGCCAATTTTACAATTAATTTTAGAATTTTTGTTTTGTCTTCAGTGTGCCCCACCCCTTATAGTTGCTACAAACCAAGACGAGAAAACATTAAAGCGTGAGGGTGTGTGTGCTGCAAGCCTGCCTACAACAATGGGCATTGTAGCTGGATTCCTTGTTCAAAACACTCTAAAGTAAGTGGTAAAATGTAATGCTTATCATGTGGCCAAGCTTCAAACTTTATATTTAAATACGCCAAGATTTTTTTACCAGGGATTATAGCTGGTAAAGATTTAAGAGACCAAGGCTTTTGTTCTGTAATATTTTATTGTATCCAGATACACCATTGTACATGTAGCAGTGATTTTTTACAGTCAGAGCAAATTATAATAGGAGTATATAACTTGTAGGATTAAGTAGCTGTTTCTTATCATGTCTTAGTGACCCAGTCTTGCAGAGCACACTGGGAATTGTTACTTATTCTTTGTGCTTTTTGTGGTAGACCTTCCCTTGAATAAGTTATTTTTCCCACTTTTAAAAAGAACCAACCTCTGCATCCTTTTACCTTCTCTTGTGAAGAAAAAAAATATTTCTCACACAGATTGTATTGCCTGATTATGATGAAATTTTGCAAAGAACAAACCTCTGCGTTTGTTGGTATACCACAATTATGAAACATAAAAACTTATTAAATCATTGTTTCAAGTTTAATACATCCCACTTTTTCAGCTCAGCACAAGACCCGTAACATGTTATAATTACTTGACACATCAAATGTTTCAGATATCTCCTGGGTTTTGGCAATGTAACTCATTACCTTGGCTATAATGCCCTCCAAGACTTCTTTCCATCCATGTCCATGATGCCAAACCCTAACTGTGATGACAACCACTGCAGGAAGCAACAAGTAGAATACCAGGTGAGGTGTACAGATAGTGCCAATTATATTTTTCCTATACAGACTCTATATGAAAACATAATCCTTTTTGTTGACGACACTATTAAGACAGGGTATGGTCATTTAAGGACCACTTTAGTAGCATTTATGCAGGATCATCCTTTTTGTTTTCATGAATTTTCTGATAAATTAGGCATCCCACACATTCTCATAAACTGATGTACTAAGTTGAAGTATAATTAATGTGCAGCTTCTCTTCTTTCAGAAACGCGAAGCTGCAAAGCCGAAACCTGAAGTGAAAGAGCAAGAGGAGGAGAAAATAGTGCATCAAGAAAATGATTGGGGTAATTTTTTTTTTTTTTTTTTTTGAAACATTTTAGTTTATAAAGTAATAAAAAATATTAATTTTTACAAATAATATTTTAACAAAGTAAATAGCAGATTCCAGCAAAAACTAAATATTTTAAACTTTTTTCTTTTTATTACTTTTCACATGTGTATTTATTTATTGATTATTGTTATTTATTTATTTGCTTTGTGTATGGAATGGAAAAATCTTTAGCCACTGCTGTCTAAAATTCTGCAGGAATAGAGCTGGTGTCAGAGACAACAGAGGAGGAATTGAATGCTGCTGAGGGAGAAAAGCCAAGCTTGGTATCAGGAGTCACAGTGGCATACACAAAGCCAGTCAAAGAAACAAAGGTAATGTTTTAACCCCTTTCAGTCCTCATTACACCATGAAGTGGATTTAAAAAAAAATTAAATATTTTTTNTTTTTAAAAAAATTAAATATTTTTTTAATATAAATAAACACGTCACTTTAATTAGTGGAGTTTACATTATCTGATTGGAAGTATCATCAGCATGATATTAGTTTACTGTGATTTAAATTATTTTTAATGTTACATATGAAGTCAAATCTTTGTCCGTAAACCATAGTGTCAAATAGCAAAACTTAAAGAAATACCAAAGGGCATTGTCTCATACTTCCCAAAAAACGGTATTTGAACAGATATTTTCTGTTTCCTTCTGTGCTATATATAACCCTTGGTTGTTTCCACCACTCATATGAATATTTATGCTATTCCACAGTTATGCATCTTACGTGACTGCCTCAACCAGAAATTTGAAAAAAAATGGGGTTTTACAGCTTTTTTTTTTTTTTTTTTTTTTTTTTTGTCTGACCAAGTAATTGATGTAATTTATCTTTTGGCATGTCGACTCTATTTGAGTTGTATAAGAAACAAGTAGAGATGGTGTACACGCATAAGGGAGAAGATATGATTTGTTTTATATGTAACGTGATATTGAATTATTTTTCTAGGATGATTCTGCTTCAGTTGAAACATCAGAGCAGAGTCTAGAAGATCTCATGGCCCAGATGAAGAGTCTCTGACAGAAGAACAAAGATTAAGTGTTGGAGGTCACATACATTCATTCCAATGTATATCAGTTCAGCCCATGTGACAGGTTCCATGTTAAATAACTGAATGGATGGCTAAGCTACTATTAAACCAAATGCCATACAACTTGTGCCCCAAAAAACAAAGACAATGCATGTCAGGCCTTGATGTAGCAAAAGAAAAAAAAAAGGTGCTTTTCCTTATTTTCAAAATATAATCTATCCTATACCTGGAAAATTAGAATCTTTGAATACATTTTTATGTACAGACACAGATGTGTCTGTANTTTAAAAAAAAATTAAATATTTTTTTAATATAAATAAACACGTCACTTAAATTAGTGGAGTTTACATTATCTGATTGGAAGTATCATCAGCATGATATTAGTTTACTGTGATTTAAATTATTTTTAATGTTACATATGAAGTCAAATCTTTGTCCGTAAACCATAGTGTCAAATAGCAAAACTTAAAGAAATACCAAAGGGCATTGTCTCATACTTCCCAAAAAACGGTATTTGAACAGATATTTTCCGTTTCCTTCTGTGCTATATATAACCCTTGGTTGTTTCCACCACTCATATGAATATTTATGCTATTCCACAGTTATGCATCTTACGTGACTGCCTCAACCAGAAATTTGAAAAAAAAAATGGGGTTTTACAGCTTTTTTTTTTGTCTGACCAAGTAATTGATGTGGTTTATCTTTTGGCATGTCGACTCTATTTGAGTTGTACAAGAAACAAGTAGAGATGGTGTACACGCATAAGGGAGAAGATATGATTTGTTTTTTACGTAACGTGATATTGAATTATTTTTCTAGGATGATTCTGCTTCAGTTGAAACATCAGAGCAGAGTCTAGAAGATCTCATGGCCCAGATGAAGAGTCTCTGACAGAAGAACAAAGATTAAGTGTTGGAGGTCACATACATTCATTCCAATGTATATCAGTTCAGCCCATGTGACAGGTTCCATGTTAAATAATTGAATGGATGGCTAAGCTACTATTAAACCAAATGCCATACAACTTGTGCCCCAAAAAACAAAGACAATGCATGTCAGGCCTTGATGTAGCAAAAGAAAAAAAAAGGTGCTTTCCCTTATTTTCAAAATATAATCTATCCTATACCTGGAAAATTAGAATCTTTGAATACATTTTTGATTTTTTTTTAATTCTTACTTTTTGCTGTAATGGGAGAAATTTACCAGTCTCCATCTTCATAGCAAGAGTGCCCCAAAATCTAGAAGATTGGAACACCATAACAAGCTTATGTTTTGTCAGTAGTTCTGAATATGGCTATATATTGGTGATTAAAGTGCTGAAATTTCCAGGAGAGGGTACATTTTAGCTACATAAAAGTCTAACATTGAGTGATTTTGAAGTCAAATGTGTCTTAATCACATAATTAACTTGTAGCAGCCTTTGTCTGATTAGTACCTTGTTTGCAAATGTTTCCTTTAACAGCTGGCAAAAACTGCTCGGGATAAGTATAATTGGTACATACTGGCTGTCAATTCTAAAACTTGCCAGTTTGATGGAAAAGTTTGACATACATCCCTGAACAGATATTTAATTCAGTCAGTCTGAGGTTTATGGTTTATAGTCAAAGCCATTTTCTTGCTCAATCATATGGTTTTGTACTTGTTCTTATAGAAATTATGTGACCATGTTATCAGCAAGTTGCCTTGGCATTTTTCACACAGCTGGACAGTGATGTATGCTATAAAATTGTTCACATTTGTTTATGGCAGTCATTTTGCAAGTTGTAAAATAATATTATTTCAAAAGAGTTCATCAGTAATATCATAATTTCACTAGGAATTATTTTCTAGAAAATAGCACATAAAAAAGTACGTTATTATTAAGTGGAAGCTGTATTTTATGTCATCATATCCTCAGTTTTACTTGTTCTTGTCATTTGCCAAGACTTAACATAAGCGATTATTTATTTTCAAACATCTCACATAAATGCAATACATCATAGATGGTGCTACATACTAACTTTTGTGTTTGTTCTCATTTTTCAAGCAATTTAAAGATAGGAAAAAAAATTAACAATTGTTGGTCATCCCTTTATAAAACTGCCAGGTTAACAAGGGGGGTGCATTCTGTGCTCTGTAACATGTCTGTGCTTCTGTGTCACATTGGTGTATGCAAGTCAATCATTTAATTCACAATTATGTATCAGGTACACTATAGACATGAAGACCAGAGAAGTTTTGACTTGAACTGGAAAATTTCTCCCAGGACTGGTGCTGCATACAATACATTCGTAGTCCTCAAGGATGCTACAGCATTTTGATTAGCACAAAGGGAACGTCCCATTTTAAATGAGCCCATGGTGGATATCTTGATAATAATGATGATAAATAATAACTTTAATCATAATAATAATATTTTTCTCTAGAAAGACCATTAATTCACATTATATATTGTGAGAGTTCTAGGACTTAAATGCGAACAGTTTTGTTATAGCATTGACCCTGAGATTGCTGTATTGGAACATCTGTTTCTAAAGGCTGGCAAAATTCTACACTTTTGTAGATGTATGACGATGATGATAACGATTCCTGCTGTTAGAATAAGACACACCACGGCAATAGTTGACACTGTGAAAATTGTTGACATTCTGGATTTTGGTCTAACTGTCATTTTTTCTGAAATAAAAAAATACTTGTTTTAGTTATTTTCACAGAAGACCATCTGTCTTTTAAAATGTGGTCCCTGAAAAATTTGTAACATTTTATTTATTAAATATTTATTAACAAGACATATTTAACTTGTTTAATTTTTATACTTGAGAATTAGGTTACAAGGCACCTATTAGTGTTCATTAAGTCTCTTATTACCTTCATTATTACTGAGAACATTTCCGCCAGGATTTTTGGTGACATAAACTTGTAAACCTATTGCAAAATGCATGTCTTCCTTGGTCACCCATCTCTTTCTCCTCTCATCTAATAGACAGTTGCCAGCTGGACCCTGAAAGAAAAGGTCGTACATTTGATAATGATTTAAGGAAATAGCATTCAAATATCTTTAATATGTAAAACAATGCGAATGTCATTTTCACAAATTAAATTTTCTGAGTCTAAACCAAAGCAAAACTGGGAGAATGATTCTGTGGCAATTTTTGCAATTGCCTCGGCTACAGTACAAGCAACTAAAAGCTTTGGGTCCATGTCAGGAAGCTCTTGTTAGCTAATGATTGATAATTATACTCCTGTCAGTTCTATAAGACATTTTATTGTTAGTTACCTCCACCAAGGCGGTTATGTTTTCACCCCTGTTTGTTTGTTTGTCTGTCTGTCTGTCATGAACATAAAAAGTTATGGACCGATTTTGATGAAATGTTCAGGAACTGTCAGAAGTGGGCCAAGGGACAAATGATTAGCTTTTGGTGGTGATCCAGATCAATAATCAGTCAATAATCATAAAAAACTAAATCATTATAGAATGAAAATTTAGGGGTAAAACGGCATTGGATGGAGACTTTGCTGCCTTGGCGGAGGTCTGCGCTCTCAGAGTACTTTTCTAGTTCTTGGTTGTTATTGCTTTGGTGATTCCATGGTTATTCAGCAAGTGGATCAGCAAACCTTTACTGGGAGTGCAAAATAAATGAAATCAAAAGTTGATTAGGTACTTTGTTTTGTCTTTATGAAATGTGCATGAACATAGTGGCTGCCAGAGGGCGGCGGAATCTGTCATGGTTCCACCAATCGAGGAGACACTACAGATTACGTGAATGTAAAGGATATTGATAATAGTAAATTATTTAGAACTTTTAGAAGGCAGCGGAGAGAGTATTTAAATTTTGTATAATTATCTTATATAACAAAAGTCTCGTGCTCTTTTTTCAAGGCACAAGTGCTCTGTGCCTTGCTGTATTTTGCCTTTTCCTCTTCCATTATATTTGTGTCAATGTAAACAAAGAAAATCATAAAACAGGTGTACCTGTGCCATTGCAGCCTCTAAACATTAGAAACATTTATCCAATTCTTCATGGATTGCCAAATTGATTAATAATAATAATAATAATAATAATAATAATAATAATAATAATGCTTAATGTAATAAATGCAGCAGAGTGAGAATTTACCTGATAACACCTTTTATGTTTTGAGGTGCAAAACCCAATCTCACAGTTGAAATATAGTGTTTCTTTTTCTGGAAATTTGAAACACTTGAATGAACCACTTTTAACAGTTTGTGCTTGTTCCAGTTGGCCATGAAATGGGGCATTTATGAATTCCCGATCATCAGGACACCTGCAGAAAATTATAAGACGTAATGTTGATATTTCAGACACAAGTGAATAATGGGAAAATTTGTTTACCTGTTAAACAATTAGAAATTTCTATTTAAAAACATTTAATGGAACTGCACTAAGTCGAATATTTAAAAGCTTAAAGAATAAAACCCTTTACTTGTTTTATAAAGTTGCCTTTCATTTCATTTATTTAAATTCAGTAAAATAAACTTACCCCTTATCATTCAAAAGAACAAATGTTTCATTATTGGGTGAATCTCTTGTTGGTTTTACAATACACCGATAAACTTTGATCCCCCAGGCAGCTGCAAAAAAAAAAAAAGATATCAGGCAATATTTTCATATAATATCATTTGTAATGGCACTTTCACTTTACGGCAGAGCAGTATTTTTGTGATTTATAAGCATATTATAACTTAAACATGCAAAAGTTTAAATATTTTAACTGCATTTATTCAAAATAAAAACTCAGTATTTGAGGTCACTAAGCAAGGCTCATAATAGCCTTATGGATGAATTTCATTGAGATCAAACAATACAAAAATTCATAAATAGATAAATAAAAAACATGTATGTATTGCTTTATTTTTAAAATGTCTTTATGAAAGGGCTTGATTACTGTCTGATTCTGTCAGGGTCATGGCAAGCAGAACCTCTTCGCCAAGGTAGCAACTTTTGGTGTCACTCCCACCACTTGCTTTTTTCATTACCATAGTTACAGTTTCTCTTCCTATATTAGCAACTCCTTGTTGGAAGGTGCTGTTATAAAAAATTAAATAATTTTTCAAAGTTATGGAAAAAACTGATAAAATGCCAGGTAAATAGAATGCCAGGGGCATATGCCATTTCCAATTACAGAATACGTACTAAAGAATACTATTTTATTGTCATTTTTTCCCTGCTGTTTTTGTTTTAATTCATTACACACTCCTGATGTGGTTCTCTGGTACACACATTTTACACACATGCACTTATTCATTTTTCACACTCTTATAAAACACTTTCAACAATACCTTAAGAACAGTGTCCATTAACATTAGAAGAGGCAAATCACCACAAGTTAACATCATTACCTAAGAGATGGTCCCGTTCCCTGTATAATTCTATCTCCACCACGAGAGCTGATATAATTTAAGATACAGAAGGTATTTGAAAACAAAAACCACAGCTTGTCTCAGGGAGCATTCAGACACAGGGTACTAGTTGGGGCGGTCCAACTCTGGGGGGGGGGGGGTACTCTCAATACGTGCATTCTGCTTTACTAAATGACATGCCTCCTTAAGCAACTCAGGGGTTCTTTCATGTGTACTAGCTAGACTTAATTATCCCCAAGTTGCTCAAGGAAGCATGTCAGACAATTAAGCTGATTCCAATTATTGCACTTAGCAAGAATTCCCACACAGTTGAACTGACCTAACTAGTACAATGTGTCTATCTGGGGTCTCAGTTGTAATTAATGTGAAAGTAGATTAAATGAATGGGTAAGATTCAATTCAATTCAATTTATTAAACCTTTAAGCCCTACGGCTCATCAGAATATAAAACAGTGACAATATAAAGTTATATCTAATCAACTACCATGACTACAATAACTACTACTGATACAAACAATAATAATAATAATAATAATAATAAATAATAAATTGCAATCTGTCCAAAATGCTGCAGCACGACTACTGACCAAAATCCCTCTCAGATCAAACATTTCACCCATTTTATTCGAACTACATTGGCTTCCTGTACGACAGAGAATTGTTTTTAAATTACTGTTGTTTGTTTTTAAATTCACTAGAGGTGAATGCCCCTCATATTTTAACTCGATGCTACATCCAAGTACACCCAGTCTCACCAGGTCTACCAGATCCACCTCCACTCCTTGTTTTATNGCTAGAATAAAATGAAATTCATCCTCTACATCGTTTAAATTGCATAACTTACAGATTCTTAATTTCCTATTTGTGTCTGTGTATCGGCCAGTCTCTACAGATAGATTACGTGATGAAAGCCTAAATTTTGCGATAAATTCCTTACTTTTCTGTGAAATTGGTTTATTCAAGTTAAATTGCACTGTGAAATTATCGACAAGGTGTTGATACAGAAGCCCTTTACTGGCTGTGAATATTTCTCCTGTCAGTACTTGTCTAAAATGATCCTTCAATCTTTGTTCTATCAAAGACAGTATACAAACATCCGACATGTTTTCATAAAAAGTGAATGACAGACCCATTAATTCCAGGTCATTCCGTATACAATTTATCCACTCAAAATTATTGTTAAGGATATCTTTATAGCATGTTTGTATAATACAGTTTTTTGAAGAGCTGATTTTCAGCCAATATTTAAAAAATCTTAGTTTTCTACTTAAAATAAGTGGATATCGTCCGGTTTCAGAATATACTAAGTTATTACTAGTGCTTCTTTTAACACCCAGCATTCTTTTCAAAAAATCAGTATGTACCTTTCTTATATCCTTTGCCTTATTAAATCCCAATATTTCTGATGCATAATTTAAAATACTACCAACGTACGTATCAAATGCTGCACACCTGGTGGACGCATTAAAGTTATGGTTTTTTAACACGCTGCTAATAGCAAATAATGCTTTTTTACCCTGTTCTGCTATATGTTTTTGGGTTTGACAAAACTTACCATTATAATTAAAAAGTAATTCGAGATAACTAAATTGATTCACCCTTTCTAAGACAACACCGTTATATTTCCATATTTCTCTTCAGCCCTTAACTTACCCCCAGGAGGCATGTCAGACAATTAAGCTGATTCCAATGATTGCACTTAGCAAGAATTCCCACACAGTTGAACTGACCTAACTAGTACAATGTGTCTATCTGGGGTCTCAGTTGTAATTAATATGAAAGTAGATGAAATGAATGGGTAAGATACTTATGGATGTTTTGGGTTTATTCATGAAGAATTCAAAGTGTATGTTTCTTGTTGGAGCTAGGAAGCTTAATTAGAGTAACTTTAATAATTTATTAAGAGATGTGTAGTTTGTCCATGCAAGAATCCTAAATAAAAATGAAATCGCACTTTTAAACCTCTGAATTTTCAAGGAGCAATGACAAATGGAAAGAATAAATATACCAAAAACCACAGTCCCTTCAGTAACAAGAAACCAATGCCAAGAAAACATGTAAGCTCTGTATAGCAAAAAAATAACTACAGCAAAGCTACTAAGTGTACGACGTACATAACCATACGGAAATTATCAAATGTGATAAAGCAACACATATTACTATAGGCAGATGTAAAATATTAAATATATGTTACTTTCCTAGGCTGACTACAAATCTGCTGGAATATGAATTTCAACTGTGGCATATAGGCCCATATACAAACATCTGTACATTCATTTATAATCAAGAGTATCACTTAATTAAAACAAAATTTATCTATAACAAGAATATTTAATTGTACATACATGTTCTGCACATGAACTGATGTTAGTTCTACAAATTCTGTCTCTTCTGCAGTGAAATTACACCCTGGATTTGTGGTGAATTCAACATCAGTGTGTTGCTCTATGACAAGGCTGTATGTGGCTAAAACACTCCATGTTTTTAAACCATTCTGAAAATGTATTATCCTTTGTAGTTTCCATCCGTCATAGCCTTAAAAACCAGTAGTTTTTTTCACACATATTTAAACAGAGAAAGTATGGTTTAATTGATATTCACACTTCAGTTATATGAACTGTTAATTTTCCTTAGTTTTAGGTACTAGATTTTTTTAATGTATGATTTTTGAGCTTGATAAAGAACACCAGAAATAAATTGAGATAAAGTAGGGATATGGTGAAAGAATGTATTCACTGATGGATTCATGCCATCAAAGCTAGTGGGACCCCCAAAATTTTGAGGACAAAAAACCTGTATGGAAAAATAGGCATCACTTACTGGTGTTGTCACCATTCCACATGTTCCTTCTGCCAGTCGAAATGTCACATGCGTCCAGCCTCCTGGCGTCATACTAAAATCTGGTTGGCAACTCCCATCATCTTTATAGCCAGGTATGTAAGCATCCTGGTAGTTATTGTTATTTTCTACTAGCATTATTACTTCGTTAGGGTTCACTCCACAGCGATATGTGGCTGAAGTAGACATACATTCTATTTATTATTTATTTTTCTATCCTAAGAAGTACATCATTTATGATGAAAAAATTATATGACTCTTTCTTTTAAATCCTGTACATATCTCATCTTTATTAAACACACCTTTATTCATGGTTTTAATTGTTGACCCTTAATTGCTGAATTACCAAAGTATAAATCACTGACACTGTTCCGACCCAGGTCTTTCCTTTAACATAGAATTCTGGCACCATCTGGGTGTTAATCCTTACAGTCATGAAAGATATCAACGTGTGAAAATTTAAATAAATTTGTTAACAGACAGACAAACAGGCACTGACAGACAGCCGGACAGGCACATGGATGTCACACATACTCCTTAAAATATAGACTCTTTACCTGAGAATTGCATACTAGTACCTACCTGAAAGATCTGGTGGTGCTACAAAGAGAAACACATAGGGATGTCAAATAACAGTGTGGTTTCTGTATGAATTCAAATACCCTAGCTAACTTGAAAAAAAATTGAAGGGAGCACTAAGTCTCAGTGTCAAAATTTCTTAATAGAAACCAGGCAGCAAAACTGTCATTAGGACAGACATATAAAATGCGTTTAAACTGGTATAGATGTAGTAACATAAAAGCAGTCTTAAATGAGCAACAACCAATAAATAAATAAATAAAAATAGTGCACAACATGTTTTATATTTATGTTATATTAACAGCACCACCAGTTTTTAAATTAGTACCATAATAACTGTGGACATTCATTTTAATGTGAATGGCACAGTTTTATAAAGGAAGGTGTATACATTGTTATGGTAACAATTGACGCATGCAGGTAATGGCTTTGAAACAAGTATGAATGTTCCATTTGTACCATGTAGGATGGTGTAGCTTCTGTCAAAGGCCTGTTATCGGGTGTATACCTGCATATCGCAGTCAAAAATGGAGCAGAGCAATAGGATGGTTGGTTCGTGAGGGATAGGGGTTCATTATAAGTTGGTACACCTATCTTTATAATATAAACAACAGCATTCTTAAGGACTTCCAAACTTCATCTTCCAAAATTATAAAAATTANTATCATGCCATTTCCAATTATAGAACATGTACTAGAGAATACTATTTCATTGTTATTTTTCCCTGCTGTTTTGCTTTTATCTTATCATGCACTCTTGATGTCACTCTTGTACACACATTTTACACACATGCACTTATTCATTTTTCAAACTCTTATAAAACACTTTCAACAATACCTCAAGAACAGTGTCCATTAATACTAGACGAGACAACTAAATTACCACTAGTAAACATAATTACCTAAGAGATGGTCCCGTTTCCAGTATAAATCTATCTCCACCACGAGAGCTGATATAATTTAAGATACAGGAAAGTACTTGAAAACAAAAACCACAGCTTGTCTCAGGGAGCATTCAGATAGACACAGGGTACAAGTTGGGGCGGTCCAACTCGGGGGGGGGGGGGGGGGCTCTCAATAAGTGCATTCTGCTTTACTTAATGACACGCCTCCTTGAGCAGCTTGATCAGGGGTAATTACTTTCATGTGTTCCTGGCTTAATTACCCCCCAATTGCTGAAAGAGGCATGTCAGACAATTAGGCTGATTCCAATGAATGCACTTAGCAAGAATTCCCAAACAGTTGAAATGACCTAACTAGTACAATGTGTCTATCTGAGGGTCTCAGTTGTAATTAATGTGAAAGTAGATGAAATGAATGGGTAAGATACTTATGGATGTTTTGGGTTTATTCATGAAGAATTCAAAGTGTATGTTTCTTGTTGAAGGAAGCTTAATTTGAGTTACTTTAATTATTTATTAAGAGATGTGTAGTTTGTCCATGCAAGAATCCTAAATAAAAATGAAATCGCACTTTTAAACTTTTCAAGGAGCAATGACAAATGGAAAGAATAAATATACAGAAAACCACAGTCCCTTCAGTACCAAGAAACCAATGCCAAGAAAAGATGTAAGCTCTGTATAGCAAAAAAATTTACTACAGCAAAGCTACTAAATGTACGACGTACATAACCATGAGAAAATTATCAAATGTGATAAAGCAACAAATATTACTATAGGCAGACGTAAAATATTAAATATATGTTACTTTCCTAGGCTGACTACAAATCTGCTGGAATTTGAATTTCAACTGTGGCATATTGGCCCATATACAAACATCTGTACATTCTTTTATAATCAAGAGTATCACTTAATTAAAACAAAATTTTCTATAACAAGAAAATTTAATTGTACATACATGTTCTGCACACGAACTGATGTTAGTTCTACAAATTCTGTCTCTTCTGCAGTGAAATTACACCCTGGATTTGTGGTGAATTCAACATCAGTGTGTTGCTCTATAAGAAGGCTGTATGTGGCTAAAACACTCCATGTTTTTAAACCATTCTGAAAATGTATTACCCTTTGTAGTTTCCATCTGTCATAGCCTTAAAAACCAGCAGTTTTTTTACACATATTTAAACAGAGAAAGTATGGTTTAATTGATATTCACACTTCAGTTATATAAACTGTTAATTTTCCATAGTTTTAGGTGCTAGATTTTTTAATGTATGATTTTTGAGCTTGATAAAGAACACCAGAAATAAATTGAGATAAAGTAGGGATATGGTGAAAGAATGTATTCACCGATGGATTTATGCCATCAAAGCTAGTGGGACCCCCAAAAGTTTGAGGACAAACTGCCTGTAGTTTTTTTCAAAAATAACCTGTATGGAAAAATAGGCATCACTTACTGGTTTTGTCACCATTCCACAAGTTCCTTCTGCCAGTCTAAATGTCACATGCGTCCAGCCTCCTGGTGTCCTACTAATATCTGGTTGACAACTGTTATCATCTTTATAACCAGGTATGTAAGCATCCTGGTAGTTATTGTTATTTTTTACTAGCATTATTACTTCGTTAGGCTTCACTCCACAGCGATATGTGGCTGAAATAGACAAACATTCTATTTATTATTTATTTTTCTATCCTAAGAAGTACATCATTTATGATGAAAAAATTATATGACTCTTTCTTTTAAATCCTGAACATATCTCATCTTTATTAAACACACTTTTATTCATGGTTTTGATTGTTGACCCTTGCTGAACTGCATGTATCAAAAATGTAAATCAACGACCCAGCTCAATCTTTCCTTAACACAAATTTCTGGTTCCATCTGGGTGCAATACTCCTTAGAGTCATGAAAGATATAAACGTGTGAAACTTTTAACAAATTTGTTAACAGACAGACAAACAGGCACTGACAGACAGCCAGATAGGCTCATGGATGTCACCCACTCCTTATAATATAGACTCTTTACCTGAGAATTGCATACTAGTACCTACCGGAAAGATCTGGTGGTGCTACAAAGAGAAGTCAAATAACAGTGTGGTTTTTGTATGAAATACCCCAATTTGAAAAAAAAATTGAAGGGAGCACTAAGCCTGAGTGTCAAAATTTCTTAATAGAAACCAGCAGCAAAACTGTCATTAGGACAGACATACAAAATGTGTTTAAACTGGCATAAAGTAAAGTACATAACATAAAAGCAGTCTTAAAAGGGGAACAATCAATTAAGAAATAAAAGTAATGCACAAAATTTTTTATATTTGTTTTATTAAGAGCACCACCACTTTTTCAATTAAAACCATAATAACTGTGGACATTCATTTTAATGTGAATGGCACAGTTTTATAAAGGAAGGTGTATACGTAGTTATGGTAACAATTGACGCATGCAGGTAATGGCTTTGAAACAAGCATGAATGTTCCATTTGTACCATGTAGAATGGTGTAGCTTCTGTCAAAGGCCTGTTATCTGGTCTATACCTGCATATCGCAGTCAAAAATGGAGCAGAGCAATAGGATGGTTGGTTCTTGAGGAATAGGGGTTTATTATAAGTTGGTACACCTACCTTTATAATAAAAAAACAGTATTCTTAAGGACTTCCAAATTTCAATTTCCAAAATTATAAAAATCAAAGTTTTGCACTTTCAACAACAGCACAAAGTACCTGAACAGATAGGCATGGGATCCCAAGTTCCATTAATATAACATGTGACATAAACATTCTGCAGACCATTCTCAGCCACATAGCCAGGTGCACACTGAGCCAGTACAGTTTGATTACGAACGTAGGGTTCTGGGGTTACTATCTCACCATTAGCAAATGGCTGGGGTTTGACACATGGCAGTACTGAAAAGTACATAATCATAATATAACATTTAAATAATTTTTAAGTTAAAGGTACTCAATAGATCTACAGGATTTACCAACTAAAATGAATTTTACTTCAGGAAAAAAGCAATTTTCTCCTTCTCATAAATCATTGCTCTATGCGATTGAATACATGTATGTATTTAAACTCAGTGGTTTATTCCATTTTTAATTTTAACTAAAGATTAAGTTCTACAGGACTTGTCAGTCATTTAAAATTTAAATGAAGGATGGGTTTTGTAGTTTTCTAGGTCTGAATTCCAAAAGGATAGTAGCTTTGCAGGATTTGTATGAAAAATATGACTATGACATTTTCAGATACGTACAGTATACTTTTTATAAAAATGTGTGCTTCCATGGGTAGTGTCATCTTGCATAGAAAATTTATGTCTGTAAACAATGCATAAAAAGCATTGTAGCATATTTGGTACCTGTAAAGGTTGGTAGCCTAGTCCAAAGATCAAAATTATCGCAGACTACAACAGGGTTTCCAACCAAGCGGTATCCTTCATTTGCTATTATGTATATACTTGTCTCACGAGTGTAAACTTCCTTGGGGTTCGTGATTTGGCCATGTTCTATATGGGGCTCTGGGCAATTTCCAGCTGCAAGATATAAAAGAAAATATTCAGTTTTTTCATACCAGGAACCATGGGAGTACTCATTAAATTACCCATTTCTTCACTTTTACTACCTTAAGGTTTACTTTTTTACATTGATTTAGCATTGATGTTGTCTTGGAAATAGATAAACAAATACAATAGGTTAAACAATAATAATGGAGAGGGAGAGAGAGAGACTGTTACTTACCACATGCTGGGTCATGGATTAAAACAGCAAAATAGAAATTATATAGTAGACACTGAAATAATAAAAAATCTTTGCAATCAATATATGACAAACACAGTTACACACTCATGACACATTCCAAATTGTTATACTTACATCAAGTTGAACAGCTTTGTTCTAGAATAGATACATGAAGCAACATTTATAGGCTTTAAAAACCATGCTATGAGTCTTTTACCTCTATATAGATGAAATTTATTGGGGGGAAAATGTCAACAATTTATCACCAAGGTACTTCATTGCCAAAACTGCTCATAAACCAGTTTATGTGATCCGAGTTTCTTATTTTAATATGGAGATGGAAATTGGTGAACTTCATTTGTGAAGGAAAAAATCAAAAATTAAAGAAAATGGCTAATATATAGACAAATTCACATTACCCAAATAATTTCCAAAGGCTTCATTGATGACCACTTAATTGGTACTTGAAGCTGGAATGAAATGTGAAAATTTAATTAATAATAATAACTTATTAATTATGATGAAAAGTAAAATATTAACTTAATTGATTAACTAATTAATAAACAGTTAATAGAAATGAGAATTGAGTGGCCTGGGCAGGTCTGTGCTCTCTGAGTGCCTTTCTAATTGGTACTTATTCTCTCATTCATTTTGTTGAAATAAAATGAGACATACCATGTATTTGTTCAGATAGATTATCTGAGTGCTTCCTGAATATCTTTCAATTAAGTTTTGCCTTTTCCTCCGATTCCATCATCCCCTTCAACAACATTTTTGTCAGTAGATCTATTGAAACCAGGTGAATAGCTAAAAAAAAAAAGAATTCTGGAAAGCAAGCTCTACAGTAAACAAAGAAGTCAGCATCTAGTCATCTAGCTGCAAAAGCCCTATTGTCCATCTGAGCTCTGAATGAAATTTTACAAAAACGTCAGCTTCGAATGGCACAGACTGAGATATCAATTGCAATGAAAGAGTTAGTTCGTCTAGTCCATTCTGGCATCGGACTTCACTTCCGACAATCACATTTTACCAAAAATAGCGGCAGGTCCGTTGCCGACAGGATTTCCCCGTGGCCAAGAGCCGACTACATCCTTATGAGATGTAAACGGCTTCCTAATTTCAAGGGTGATTCAAAATTGACCCAAAAGAGCCCTCCTAACCTTAAAAACTGACACAAGACAACTATGAACGGCAAGAAATCTGACCTGTACTTAGTGATCAAATAGTGTACGAGGCTTTGGTGAAGGAGGCCTCTTGGTAACAGTAATCCTCAAGTCACGTTCAACCTACCTAGCTCCTTACTGGTCTTTTTGATATGGGAATTGTTTGCGAGTATCCTATATATCCTCAAAATACAACAAAAATTGATTAAAGCCACTCCTTTCCTTGCCCAACACGACAAAGGAAGCTGCGTGTGAATTTATACACAGCGCTGAGTGATAGCTTCTCAAGAAACTGACCAATCACAGCGACAACGGCGTTTACAATTTTCCAAGAAACCGTGTATCTCATTTAACGTTCACTTACGGTTCTCAATCTATTCTTGAACATTTTTTTACAGTTCTAATGTCGTTCTGTGATGAATGTTAACGTTCGAGAACTGTTTTTTGAGAAGTCCTTCATAATGTCATAGAACAGATTTAGAACATTTTTCATTAAGAGAGAAAAACATTATGGTCTAGAACAGGTTGACATCCGTAAGTGAGCATTAAAATTAGAAATTTTCGCAGGGAGGGCACCAGCATGGCAAAAGTTTCAGCGGCAGTGTCCGAAAGGAAGAGAAATATTTAACATAACATGCAGTGACGGATGCAGGATTTTTTTCATACTCCATAAAAATCAAATAAAACCTTCGAAATAAAAGATTCTGATGGCGATATTCCCTTCCTTCTCCTTATTAGAAATTGTACAAAACTGAATTTGTTTTGTGAAAAACAGACTGCCTGAGTACGATTGTAACAAAAAAATGAGGGTCCGTGTATCGGATTATTGTGAGAAAATTGGATTGTAGTTTTAAGTTATCTTTTATTACCTTCACCCAAAAGGTCATGTGTTTGGTTCCGTTCGTCTCTTGGCAACACTAAATGGAAAAAGTTGTGGATTGATTTCCTAATTTTTTCGATCGGAGGAGACCAAGTAACAAACGAGTAGATTTGCATTAATTTAATCTTTTCGTCTGTAAGCAACACTACGCAAAAAGCTATGGAGGGAATTTAGTGAAATTTCAGGATAGAAATGGGCTAGATGTTTTAGTCTATCGATTTGTTACTTAATTTTGATTGCTATGGGCTATGTAATTAACAATTATCAAAATTTAGCAATAAGTGGATAAATAAATGATTAATAATCTTGAGAATTGAGTTAATAAATTGATTAATCAACTTATTAGTGAATGACTGTGGTATAATAAGCCCCCTTTTTCTATATTTGAAATTCATCTTTTGAGGTTATATCTATAAGTATTTGTAGTTGCCTGATAAAAATGGAAATATGTAGTATCAACGGCGGATTTAGGGGGTTAGGGGGGTCCTGACCACCCCCCCCCCTTTCGATTTCTGAAAAATAAATCACACCAATGGTCTCCTCCTGAAATTAGAATATTGACCAGCTGAATCAAAGTTCCAAAATTTTTCGGGGTCTTCAGCGGGCCCCTGAACCACACGCCGAACGGGGGAGGGGGGGGGGGAGGGGGGGAAGGGGGGTTGCATTCGCGTCCCTCTTCAAATCCTGGATCCGCCCCCGAGTATTGTGTAGTATTGTGCTCATATAGCTTCAATGATAAAAAAGATTTACCTACTTCATTTGTAAACTAAGCAAACGCGCCCCTGTTCTTTGTGTATACTCTGCTCTTTTGTCAACGTATTCTTTCCACAGCAACATGATGTACGATGAACGCCGTCGAAATTTTAAAATAACATTAGGGGAGACCGGGGCTAGTTGGCCCAGTTAGACACTCTTGGCCTTGTAGAGCCAACTAGGAATGGGTTAGAGTCACAAAACCGGTTTCAAAGTAAGCCCCATGACCTAAGCTACGTATGCAACGCCATTATTTTTCAAATATAATGCCAGACGGCTCACAATTTGACAAAAAACGCAGTTGACGTCAGGGGGCCAACTTGCCCCGCCACGGGGCAAGTTGGCCCCAGGGTCGGGGCAAGTTGGCCCCCCTATACGAAAATGAAGTATATATCCCATGTTAACGCCTTAGAATACATTTTTATACATTTTTAATTTATTAAATTGATTTTTGTGAGTCTTTGATGAATAAATAGTTCAAATGAGGCAGATTTATTGAGGTTTCCGTACGTCACATACAATCAACAGAACATTTCTAATATAAATTTTCGAAAAGACACCAGAGAGCAAATTAAAAAAAAATCAATCAGACGGTAAACACCGGCAAGCTTTGTCAATTTCACCAACTTGTTTATTTCAAACAGCGCACTTTTCGCACATGCGCAGTTGTTTGAAGCTTGTGCTAGAAGTTACAACTTCTCGTTTATTTCAAACAGCGTTGCGCAAAGGATTGTGGGTAATATGAGGGTCCAACTTGCCCCGAGTCAAGGGGGCCAACTAGCCCCGGTTGCACATTATTTATTTTAAGGGATGGCAGCCATTTATAGTGCTAGAATGAGCAACGATGATACATCTCTCTGAAACTTGAAACAATGAGCTTCAGTTTGATGCCCTAAACATATCTTATATTCGATCAAAAGCCTATGAAAATAGATTTTTAAATCTCTTAAACAAAATTACTTTTAGGTGCAAAAATAGTTTATTTGGACTCACCGCTTAATTAAAACTTTTTAACGGCCGACACTTCCGTAGCATTGTAGGCTACGGTCACTTTATAAGAGTATGTGGCCAATTTTTTTTACCTCGTAGTTACTTTTTCAGAAAATGACGGGGGGCCAACTTACCCCGGGGTCCAACTAGCCCCGGTCTCCCCTACTACATAAGGTTTCAACAATCACTTCCACAAGCAGCAGCTAAAGTAAAGGTGCATTCATAACAAGTTGATCCGCAGACTAACAGATCACGGATAAAATATGACCGAACCACTTGAAAGCTTGCTGCATAATTCCCTAAAAGACAATTATGGATTCCTCGCGGGGATTAGACGGTAAGGTTTCAAGTGGGTTGGCAATATATGACCCGCGAAACTGTTAGTTCCACAGGAGTTTTCTGCCAACGTGACTGTTGCTAAAGTCCAGTTTGATGGTGAGCTAGTAAACGCTGGTGGACAGTTGGAGTAGTTTTTATAATCCAGGATGTAAGAGACCTTTCCCATAGACATTTCGGCCTACGTGGATCGGTTCAACTCTGCGGGAACTCTCGCTAAGTCTCACCATCTTAACAAATTATCCCCTCCCTCTGCTGGCGTTAAGAAGAATACAGAAAAGCTGGTGATTATAAGAACAAGGTAAAAACAAGATGTGTGGCATTCAATTAAACTGATTGCACTTAGCAGGAAACCCCGCAGAGTTGGGTCAATCCACGTAGACCAAAGGTACGTGTGTTTATGGGAATGGGGTCTAAGTGTCTGCGTAATTACTAGCGTCGTTTACTACGAATATTTACTCCGCAGCGATAGGTGGCAGAAATAATTGATGTTTTGTAATTAATTTAAACATTTTCTGTCCACTCTATAGGAAACTAGAGATGAGGTGCTCTGACCGCCATTCATGTCGGGAAAATTAGTTTCTAAAAAGTTCTTGGCTGTAAAATTTTAATATGGAGATCAAAGCAGGAATAATACGTCTTACTTAAATCGGTAAATTGCAGCACTTCACAGACTTCATTTGGGCATATGGAAAAGTGTACGGCTAGGGAGTGGAGAGAAGAACCTGAGTGGAATCAGACAGCGTGAATAGATTCTTTGAATGACTGACAGACTGTCAGTGCTTTGATTTAAATGCAATAATTCATGATAGTTGAGTTTAAGAACAGACATGAGAGAGGGATAGAATGGAATGGAAAAAACAAATGCCACTACTATATTCTAAAACTCGGTTGGGATAGAGCTGGTGTCGGAGAATTGAATGAGAGACAGAAAAGCCAAGCTCGGTGTCAGGCGTCACAGTGGCATACACACCGCCAATCAAAGAAACAAATGCGTCTTTATTTCATAATACTTATGAACTTGTAGCATTATGTGTCTGATAGTACCTTGTTTGCAAATCTCTCCCATAAGTGGCAAAAATTTGGCCAGGATATGTATAATTGGTATATACTTAATGGCTGCCAATTATAAAACTTGTCAGCTTGATGGAATAGTACACGATATATCCCCGAACAAACATTTAATTCAGTCAATCTTTGATTTAAAATTTTAAATCTTTAATATCATAAACTTACTAGAAGTTATTTTGTACAAAATAGCATAGAAAAAAATTACAGAAGTACAAGCTGTATTTTTTGTCATCATATCCTTAGTTTTACCCCTTCTTGTCATTTCCCAAGAATGAAATGAATATGACCACGTTCTTTCATGAGCAATTCTTTATTTTCACACATCCCACAAAATGCAATACATCATAGATGGTGCTACATACTAACTCTTGTGTTTGTTCTCATTTTTCAAACAGTTTAAAAAGAAAAAAGTAAACAATAGGTGGTCATTCCTTCATAAAACCGCTGGGTCAACAAGGGTGGTGCACATGGATGGAGTGTACAGTCACTTTGTGTTTGTAACGATATTCCTGCTGTGTCACGTTGTCACAATTGATACATTGGTGTATGCAAGTTGAGCATTTAACCCACAATTATGTGTCAGGTATGCTATAGAAACGAAGACCAGAAAAGTTTTGACTTGAACTGTAAAATTTCTCCCAGGACTGGTGCTGCATACATTTGTAGTCCTTGATGCTGCAAGTGCTTTGTACAGCATTTTGATTAGCACAAAAGGAACATCCCGTTTTAAATGAGCCCATGGTGGATAATAATGATGATAAATAATAATTTTGATAATAATAATAATAATAATAATAATAATAATATTTTTCTCTCCAAAGACCATTAATTTACATTATATTTTGTGAGAGTTCTAGGACTTAAATGTGAACAGTTTTGCTATAGCAATGACCCTGAGATTGCTGTATTGGAACATCTGTTTTTAATGGCTGGCAAAATTCTACACTTTCGTAGAGGTATGACGATGATGATAATGATTCCTGCTGTTAGAATGAGACACACCACGGCAATAGTTGACACTGTGAAAATTGTTGACATTCTGGATTTTGGTCCAACTGTCATTTTTTCTGAAATAAAAAAATACTTGTTTTAGTTATTTTCACAGAATACCATCTGTCTTTTAAAATATGGTCCCTGAAAAATTTGTAACATTTTATTTATTAAATATTTATAAACAAGACACATTTAACTTGTTGAATTTTTATACTTGAGAATTGGGCAAAATTAGGTTACAACCAAGGCACCTATTAGTGTTCATAAGTCTCTTCTTACCTTCATTGTTACTGAGAACATTTCCGCCAGGATTTTGGGTAACAGAAACTTGTAAACCTATAGCAAAATGCATGTCTTCCTTGGTCACCCATCTCTTTGTCCTCTCATCTCTTTGACAGATGTCAACTGGACCCTGAAAGAAAAGGTTGCTGTATTATTTATACACTTATCGTACATTTGATAATGATTTAAGGACATAGCATTCTAATATCTTATGAAAAACAATGCGAATGTCACTTTCACAAATTAAATTTTCTGGGTCTAAATTTTTGCAATTGCCTTGGCTACAGTACAAGCAACTAAAAGCTTTGAGTCCATGTCAGGAAGCTCTTGTTAGCTAATGATTGATAATTATACTCCTGTCAGTTGTATATGCCATTTTATTGTTAGTTACCTCCGCCAAGGTGGTTATGTTTTCAGCCCTGTCTGTCTGTCTGTCTGTCTGTCATCAACATAACTCAAAAAATTATGGACCGGTTTTAATGAAATTTTTAGGAACCGTCAGAAGTGGGCCAAGGAATAGATGATTAGTTTTGTGGTGATCCAGATCAATAATCAATCAATAATCAAAAAAATAAATCATTATAGAATGAAAATATAGGGTTGAAACGGCATTGGATGGAGACTTTACTGCCTTGGCGGAGGTCTGCGCTCTCAGAGTGCTTTTCTAGTTCTTGGTTGTTATTGCTTTGGTGAATCCATGGTTATTCTAGCAAGTGGATCAGCAAACCTTTACTGGGAGTTCTATCATACACATGCAAAATAAATGAAATCAAAAGTTGATTAGGTACTTTGTTTTGAAACGTGCATGCACATGGTGGCTGCCAGAGGGCAGCAGAAACTGTCAAGGTTCCACCAATCAAGGAGACCCCATAGATTACGTGAATGAAAAGAATATCGATGACAGATTTGTTATTTAGAACTTTTAGAAGGCAGCATATAGAGAGTAGTTGAAATTTTGTATAATTATTATGTACAGACACAGATGTGTCTGTACATATTGCCATCACCTGCGTCTGTCATCGCCGATGCCGATGCCGATGCCGATGGCAATGCCGATGCCGTGCACTTTCTTTGTAAACACGATAAGTGGAGGGCAGTTTTACTTTTTGGCTTTATATTTACAGAGCTGGTGAATATTCATAAAACGCAGGTCAAGTTCGAAAATCAGCATGATCAGGCCATTATTGTAGAAGTTATGCTGTTTTTCACTTTTCAGCATATTTTTCACATTTCCTCAGATTCAATTCTTAGGCATGTTAACAGTCTCATTATTAAACTAATAAGATACGTAAAAGTTTTTGTTTGACATTTCCTGTATCTTTACAACATTGTTAGTTGATTTTGTAAAAATGATGGTAAACTTTTTATCGTGTATTGTGTAATAAAGTTTCAAAAATGGAAATAAACTCATATCATTGCAGTTTGTCAGATTCAATCATTCACTATGTTCAGAATCTCAGAATGGAAGAAATTGGACATTTAGCACTGCTTTATTGATATTTTTCCCATCTCATCAATTTTCTTAGTTGATCATATAAAAATGGTAGTAAACTGTTAATTTTGTTTTATGTTAAAAATTGTTAAAAATGGGAAAAAAAAACATTTCAGAACAGTGCTGTCTTGTTTACATTTTGGCATTTTCAAGTTGTGACTTTGAAGTTCCATGGG